CCAGGTCGGGGGCTGGTCGGCTCCAGGCACGCTGGTGTAGACCCCAGGACCCTCTTTCATGTACTGTTAAAGCTGTAACAGCATCCTCTAGAGGACAGGCCCAGGGTCCGCTGCCAGCCGTGCATCTCAGGGACCTCCAGAGTCTGTGGTCTGGTCCGACCAGGCCCAGAGACAGAGAGTCCAGATCCTTCCTAGGAGGCCGCTGCAGAGGAAAAGAACTCACCGGTCATTCTGGAAAGTGCACTGGACACAAAGGGGCTGCACACAGATGTAGATCCGTGTGTACTGATATAAACAGTCTACACATAAACACACACATACACACACACATGCCTACATGTGTACATGTAAACGTACTCCGTACCTATATAGATCACATGGGACGACCCGCCTCCCCTTAGCTCCCTCCAGCCCCCCAGGCACGCAGCCCCCACCAGCCTGCGCCCCCTCCACCGGGAAGCTCTCCCCTCCCCTGCCTGCCTCTGGGCCTCTGCCCACCCAAGCGACGGGGACGCCCTGGCCGTGGACACGCACCTGTGCCCCTCGCCTGGTGGGTCTTCCCGTGTTTTCCCACCAGGAAGCTAGATTTTAACAGAACGTCTCCCGTTCTCTGAATATTGGCAAGGAAAATGAGATTTTTAAATGCCAGGGGGGACGAGGCTGTGAGATTGTCGAGGGAAGGGACAATGTCTCCTGCTGGAGCCCCCCCTCCCCCAGCTCAGCATTGGTTGGAGAGGGAGTCCAAGGTCTTCTCCAACCCTCACCTCCACCCCGGGGCCCTAGGAGCCTCTGAGCCACTGGGAGGCCCCCACGCCCTCGCCATCTCAGGTGGCCAGTAACGGTGTGGCCGTCGGCCTGGCCCTGGGGTCCAGATCCAGGCCTCAACCACTCTGGCTCCCCAGGCTCGTGGGAGGACTGCACCCGTGGTGGGCCCACTGTGTGCCAGCTCTCTGCCCCGGGCTGGCTCTGAAGGAGGACATGCCACCAGGGCAGGGCGTGTGAGGGTGAGGGTAGACACCAGACAGCAGGTCCCCTCCACCCTGCCCTCCCGCCACAGCCTGGCTGGGCCCCTGATTAGGAGGCTGAGCCGCTATCCTCTGTCCAGGACCTCCGCCACCCTGGTCCTGTCTCACTAGGACGGGCAGTGGGCTGTCCTGTGCTCCCCCTGGTCAGCCATTGGAGGGCCCTTGGGAAATCCACTGGTCAAGCCCCCCGACCTGACCCAGTCTCGGCCCCCTGGCGCCCTGTGGTCCTGTCCCTGCAGCCTCCCTGCTCCTCCCACTTGAGTGACTCAGACATCGGCTGCCCCCAGAAGACCTGGTTTCTCTGTGCCCAGCAACACCGCTGGTCATGGCCCCTGGACTGTGGACGCCACCTGCCCTCCCCTGCAGGGCCCCAGGTGGTGAGGTGCCTCATCGGTGCATCCCCTGAGGCCAGAGGGCCACACCTCAACCAGCGGTAGCCCCGGCCACACAGCCAGCCCTACACCTGCCTTCCTCCCTGAGGACCACCCAGGAGCTCCCCCCACCCACCCCTCACCCTGGACATCCAGCGGACCAAGCAGCCCTGCACAGGAGATGCCTTGAGAGACTGTGGGTAGGAGAGAACTTTCCAGAGAGGATCGAGAGGCAGAAGGTGCAGGCGCTATGCGTAGGGGCATGACTCAGTGAGACTGGGGTGTGGAAGGGTCCTCGTGCCTGAGAGCCCCGGTGAGGAGGGCTGAGGACTGAACCCCACCCAGGGGTCGTGATGCCAGTGATGGGGACAAGGACCCCCACCCAGGGGTCGTGACACCTGATGATGTGGACCAAGCTCAAGACCCCCACTCAGGGGCCATGATGCTCCCCACAAAGAGGGGCAAGTGTACAGAATGGCCCCCTGACCCTGTCTCCACCTTGAGAGCTGGAGGAAACCCCAACCCAGCTGACCCCGTAGGACTGGTGGGGACGCTGTGTGCTTAGCCCACAAAGGCCATGATGCTCCAGGTGATCAGTTTCCCCACCTGTCCGGGCTTCCGGGGGCTGCTGGGAAGCAGGAAGGCCTCTTCTCTCTTGGAAGAAGATGGGCTGAGGCTAGGCCAGCGGGGCCAGCAAGCATCCCCAGGCCAAAAAGCAGCGCATGTCCCCTGCCCCGGGGCTGGAGAGCTCAAGGCAACATCGTTCTTGGAAACCTCGCTTTCTCCACCTGCCCTCAGGACTGTGAAGGCAGAAGGCCCTGCCCCCCACGCTTCTCCACTTCTCCCAACAACATCTCTTGCTCTGTGTCCCCCACACCAGCCCTGTGGGCTATGTGTCCCCTCCTGGCCACAGCTTGTGACCCCAGGCGGTTAGAGCCGACTTCCGCTCCCCACCCCCACCCCCCACAACAAGACCCCCAGCTCAGGGAGAAGTGTGGCCCAGTCACACAAAAGGCTCCCTTCGCAAGTGAAGAAATGTTTAAAACGGTGCTAGCCTGTAGGTGAAGGCCACGCTCCACCACCACGGAGTCCACCACCACTGAGCACGGTGCTTTCTGGAAGTCTGGAGGGCCCGGGGAGGGCTCATCATGCGTGTCTGTACCACACGGGCAGCATGGCCCCAGTGACCGAGATCATCGGGGGGGACAGGGGCCGTCTATGTCTGTAGGGGGGGCCTGAGATGGACGGATGGATGGTAGATGGACAGGTGAGGGAAAACTAGATGAAGTCTGAGCTAGCTGGTGACGATACCGCTCCAGGATGCGCATCAGGCGTGAGTTTCATTTTCTTCTCCACGCTTTTCTGAATTGTCCGGGCTTCCTACAACGCGTGTGTTATTCCTCTGATCAGAACAATTAGAGGTTGTCTTCTAAATAATCTGACCTGCATCACAGAAAGCTTCGCAGATCCGGTGGCACCTGTGGTCCTTGTACAGTCCCAACAGGAGAGCCTGGGGGGAGTAGGGGAAGGCCAGGTCCTGTCTGAGGGCCTCCAACTTCCGGACAGGCTCCCCCCAGGAGGGGTTCCCAGGGCCCAGCTCAGCCCCCAGTTCCAGGCAGCCCTCTGGGTAGCTGCCAGAAGCCATGCAACCCAGGTCAGGGTTCCCCGTCCGGAGGAGCTTTCAGGCCACACCCGTATTTGGACTCCAGCCCCCAGGTCAGAGGGTCACGCTTAGGTGTGAGAGGTCACTGACCAGGGACCAAAGTCCTGATGCAGTCCCCTCTGCACCGTGCATAGGTGCGCAGATGCGGGGACTACGCCGACCTGCGTGATGGACAAGGGCCCTGACCCAGCAGATTACATTCTGGAGGAGCAGACAATAAACGTCCCAAAGGCGAGCTTCCCTAGGCCTGCGCTGGGAGAGAAGAGGCCAGGGCAGCAGAGCTGAGGGGACAGACGGGAGGACCCCGAGTGGGGGAGCACTGAGGGAGCAGCGCCCCGGGAGGGTGCAAGGTGGGGCTGTGGGGGAGGAGAGGAAGGGAGGGGAAGGGAGGGGAGGGGAAGGGCAGGTTAGATGCAGGAAGGAGCTCAGGTGCTCCGAGTGGTCAGGGAGGAGGGGACCAGGCAGGATGGCCCACCAGCCCTTGTGAACACAGGTCCTGCAGGCCGAGGGTCGTATCCTGGGGAGCTGGTGGCAGTCCTGGTCAGCCTGGCCTCAGACCCAGCATCTAAGCAAGACAGACCCTGAGTCCCCTGGTCTTGGTTTGGGGAAGGCACAGAGAGCGGGGACAGAAAGGCCAACCGGACCCGCCAGGGAGTGACCGTGGCCTCACCACCCCTCTCCCCTTGGGCAGCCCATGCGCTGCCTCCTTCCCAGGCTTCAGCGGGGAACCATTTTGAGAACTGCCAGCATGAGGCTGCAAGTCACTGTTGTTGGCCAGGATCGCGGCGGCTGGCCACCCTGGGAGGGGCCTGGGCCGAGGCCCCAGAACTCTGCTGAGGGGGCATGAGGCCAGCACGGTGCCCCTTGGGGCCGGTGGAAAGAGCTAGGGGCACCGGAGCCCCAGGGGAAGAGCATCTGGGCCGAAACATCTGGAAATGCATGGAGCACAGGGTGAGGGCCACAGGGGACTGCTGTCTGAGGCCGAGGTCCCAAGCTGGCAGAGGAGGGCAGCCTAGGCCCCATGGCACTGGCCCTCAGTCACCCTGGGGCCCCTTCCCTGCCCAGGCCCTCAGGGAAGAAGGATGGAGGAAGCTCCCTCCCCACCCCAGGAGTGCCACCCCCACCACGTGGCCCAGCCGGCCTGCCACAGGTGGGCCCTTCTGGGAAGAGGACTTCCCAGTGGCCTCCAGGCCCTGCGCAGAAAGAGCTGGGACATTCCCTGGCCCGATTCTGCTGCTCTAACACAGGCAGCCGTTCTTGTAGAAAGTTCCAGAGAAGACACAAGGCACCACAAGAGACACAGCCTGTCCTCCCAGATTGCCTGCCCCCCACACCCGGGATCTGAGTGCAGGATGGGGGCATGCCGTTCCAGGGGGGGCCCCATCACAGGGACCCCGGACTTGCTGTCGTGGATCCCATTTTTCCCTTCTCTGCCCTTCGTTTTTGTTTTTTGTTTTACCTTTTTTTTTTAAAGTGGTATCATTGACATACGACACGATCTTGGTTTCAGGTGTGCAATGAGGTGACTGGATGTTTGTAAACCAGGGGGCGCAATCAGCGCAATGTCTCGTTAACACCCGTCAGCACGCACCGTGACAGATTTTCTTTTCTTGTGAAGACAACTTTTACGATCTACTGTCTCGGTGACCTTCAAGGTGCAAAGGCAACCCGGTTTCGTTAAGGACGACGGCCAGGTCTCCCATCCCACCCCCACTGCCCTTCAGACGATACCTACACAAGGGAGAGAAATGGTGCACCTTATCGGGGACTTTTTTAAGTTTTAAAACATGTCCCCGATGCAACTGGCCTGTCCAAGGCGGAAGCCCCTGGGCCAGCTGGGCCAGCACCAGCCCCTCCCCCACATTTCTCCTCCCGCCACCGCCTTTAAAGGCGCCTGGGACCCACAGGCCACCATCTGCCACTTGCCTGCCACCCGCCACCATGCACTGTCTTGCCAGGCTAGCTCTGGCCCTGCTGGCCCTGGAGGCCGCCCTGGCCCTGGCCCCGGCCCCGGCCCTTACCTTGCCAGGTAGGCCTGGGCTGCTGCCCCTTGGGGGGCGCCCAGGAGGGTCCTCCCGACCTCCCTCTGCTCCAAGTGCGTCCCTGACACACTGCTGGCCCTGATGTGTTGGTGACAGGACGGGAGGCGCAGAGCGGAGGAGGCTGGCCCCTGGGGGTCCCCCACAGTGAAAGAGTGGGGCACTGCCTAGAGACCCCCAGGTGCTGCAGGGCCCGGGCCATTGTCCCTGATCGCAGGACAGCTCCCGGAGCATGGTGGGCCTGTCCTTGGCCCCCTGGCTCTTAACCCCACCTGCTGCCGTGGGCCTGGGCACCCTTTTGTCCCCAGGTCACGCTCCACATATTCTTTTCCTTTCAAGAAAGGGTGCGAGTTAGGGTGCTGGGGACTCCCTAACCCTAGACTCCCCCTGGTTCCTGCTGTCGCCCCACCTTGCTCCCCCCGCACCGAGCAGCCCCGGGGTAGGCGGTCCACCAGCCCCACCCGCCCACCTGCCTGTACCGTGTGCAGGGCAGGTCGTGTGCCGGGAGCTCAGCTCCTCGGAGGAGGATGCCTGCATGGTCTCCTGCAACTCGGACAAAAACTGCCCCCAAGGCACCAAATGCTGCCCCAGGAGCCCCTGCAGCCACTCCTGCATGGTCCCCCTCATCGGTAACACCACGGCCCCTATGCCCCACGCCGAGGCCTGTCCGGGGGAGGGAGGAGCCAGCTCTGTCCGGGGTCCACCCTGAGTGGGCACCCCACACCCCTCTTGGTGACCCGCCCCCCAGCCCCCTAAACTCCACCTGGGAGTGAGCACATGCCCCTGCTGGCCTGGCCGCTGAGGCTCGGCCGCCTCCTCCCAGCATTGCCCAGGCCTGGCTCCCCGAGGCAGCGGCCACAGTCCCCTCCCTAGGGATGGGGGCACGGTGGGGCTGGGAGCCAGGACACCAGCTGCAGGGGAGACCAGCCGCAGGGTAGTCCTGGGGCCTGACGGGCCGGCCGTCTCTCCCCAGCGCCTGTGCAGAGGGCCGGCCACTGCCCACCGGATGCAGGCCCTGCTGATCCCCCAGCCCTGCTTGGAGAGCAGCGAGTGTTCCAGGAACAACCAGTGTGCAGACAACAGGAAGTGCTGCCTCAGCATCTGTGCCTTGTGATGTCTGGAGCCCGAGGCAGGTGAGCGCCCCACAGCCTCCCCCGACAGTGCCCCGGCCACAGCCACGGATGCAGCAGAAGGTCTGGGCTGAGAGTGGGTGTTGGGCAAGCAAAGGAGGCAGAGGCTCAGAGACTTGCCCGAGCAGGACAGCAGGACGTGGTCCGGCCCAGCCGTAGCAGGGCCTGTACCCTTGCCACATAACCTTGGGAGGCGTCTGGGCTCCCCAGCGTGGGAGGAGGTCTGGGGCGGGAGCTGGGAAACGTGGCTCCTGGCCCCCAGTGACCACGCCTGCCTGTGGGCCACGGGGAGGGATGGGTATGGAACAGGCCTGAGGCCTCCGTGTCCCCTGCGAGGAACCCCGTCAGTGAGGGGCTTCCCCAGGAGCCAGGGCTGCCAGGAGTGACCAGCCTGAGCCTGCTTGGCAAAAACTTTCTCTCTCGGATCCAGAGAGTGCAAGATGCTTCCTATCCGCTGCTAATAAAAACCCACCCACTTAGCTTCACGTCTCTCCGTCTGTCTGTCTGTCTGTCCAGGGCACCTGCTGGGAGGGACAAAGCACACAGGCCTCTGGGAGTTCCCGGGCTGCCCACCCCGCCCTCGAGGCTCTGGCCCTCCGGGGTCCAGCCCCACTGAGAGGCATTGCTGGCATGGGGACAAGGACAGAGTGGAGCCTGCAGGGAGGGTTGGGGCCACGAGGTCACTGTAGCCCCTCTCCACAGCACCTGTGACCCCATCTGGGGTGGCAGGTGCAGTGGGCAGGTGTGGTCACAGGGAGCCTCAGTGCCAACAGCACCTCGGGCAGCCTTGTTGGGACCTGCAGTAAAGTGTGCACGCCCACCAGACACGTGGTGGGCACCCCAGAGCTTATCCCCAGGGTTCCCACCAGGCTGCCCCGACTGCAAACACCCCCCAGAATTTCTGGAGGTGACCCGCACCCTGACTCACCTAGCTCCAGATTCAGGGGTTCCCACGAACTCCACAGATTCATGAAGTTGTAAGGACGACCCACAGAACTCCGAAAGCACAGTCTGTTATAAAGGACACAGACCAGCAAAAGCCAAATAAAGACCCCACCTTGGAGGTGGGGGCGGGGACGTGGGGGCCTGTGTCCCCACTGGGTGGGGGCGGGCGCACCACCTCCCAGCACACCCACGTGTCACCAGCCCAGAAGCCGCCCTGAGCCTCGGTGTCGTGAGATCTTCTCGAAGCTTCATTGACAGGCATTAGGATGAAGCCATTGACCATTGTTGACCAACTCAGCCCCGGCCCTCTAACCTCATGGCTGGCTCCTCAGGCCGCCGGCCCCTGTCCTGTGCCATCGAGGACCCCCACCCCAGAGCCACCTCACCAGCATAGACTCAGGTATGAGAAAGGAGTCCTTGCAAATATCACAGGACACTCGTATCACCCAGGAAACTGCAAGGTTTTGAAGTGCTGTTCCAAGGAGGGGACAAAGACCAGAATTCTTTTTTTTTTTAAGATTTTTTATTTATTTATTAGAGAGAGAGAGAGAGAGAGCAGGAGCAGGGGTGAGGGTCAGAGGGAGAAGCAGGCTCCCCGCTGAGCAGGGAGCCCAATGCAGGGCTCAATCCCAGGACCCCGGGATCATGACCTGAGCCGAAGGCAGATGCTTCACCCACTGAGCACCCCAGGCACCCGCCCTCAAAGACCAGAGTTCTTGACGACCAGCCCGCATGGGTGCTTTCGGCCGGCCTGGCCCCAGCTCGTGCACACTCCAGCCACCTGCCACGTGCCCACTGACACATCAGGAGCTGGGGAGACAGGATGGGTCGTCCGAAGTGAAAAGGGCTCCGACCAGTGGCTGAATTTTGTTTCTGGACCATTCTCCAGCAAAAGGAACCAGGATTCCTTGGAGACATTGTTGAGTGAACACGGGACAAGGCCACGTGGGACACTGCGTGTCAGAAAACGGCACCAGCCTGCAGCCGCCACGATCCAACTGGACTCCAGCAGCTACGGTGGAGGGCAGGAAGCTCTTCCTCGCAGAAAATGCTAGTCAACACGGGGGTGCGGGGGTGGACAGCAAGACTAGAAGCCCATCGTCCACAACTCTACAGTCCTCATTACTCCAGGCAGTGTCATCAGATGCCGGGGAAGGCACTGGGAGTAAGGGTACAGTCTCAAGCATCCCCCACACTCGCTCATCATCCACCAGGGGGCACTTCTTCCACAACAGAGAGCTGGTCCCCAACTACGCATTCTAGGACTCACCCTGGCTCTGTGCGTCCCAGTGCGACCCAAGGGACCGCGACACTCACAGGTGGTGGCCTTGCCAGAGATGTGCCATCAGGTGAGTGCAGTTTCCACTCAGTGTTGTAGAAGAACAGGGGGGAAGAGGAGGAGGAGGAGGAGGCGGAAGGTCAGGTCCCTGGGCGCACACCATGCACATCACCCAGCTCAACCGGGAGTGCCTACTGCACCTCTTCTCCTTCCTGGACAAGGACAGCAGGAAGAACCTGGCCAGGACCTGCCCCCAGCTCCAGGACGTGTTTGAGGACCCCGCACTCTGGCCCCTGCTGCACTTTCGATCCCTCCTAGAGCTCAAGAAGGACAACTTCCTCCTGAGCCCGGCCCTCAGGAGCCTCTCCATCTGCTGGTACTCCAGCCGCGTGCAGGTGTGCAGCATTGAGGACTGGCTCAAGAGCGCCTTCCAGAGGAGCATCTGCAGCCGCCACGAGAACCTGGTCAATGATTTCCTCCTCCAGGTGTGCGACAGGTAGGCCACCTCCTGAGCTGTGAGGGCTTTGCGGGAGGGGGCGGGGGGCCTGGCTCCCACTGCTCTAGGAGGCTTGGAGGGGGGGGGCGGGGAAGAGCAACTTACAAGACCAAGATGCCTCCATCTTGGGGAGCCTCAAACTAGGCCCAAGGCAGACCGTCCAGGCCTGTCCACAGCACAGTCCCTAGAGAAGGCATACAGTCATGGGAGTGGGTGTGTGTGTGGGGGGGTTCTTCCTCCTCTTAGCCTCCCAGGTCCTGGAGCTGCTTCTGCTGCGAACAGGAAGACTGGGCTTCAGCTGTCGCTGTCCTTCGGGCAGCTGTCCTCCCTAGCAGCCGTCAAGAGCGGCCTGGCTGGGCCTGGATTTTCAAGGTCAGGCTCTGGGAAAGGTTCCTAGATTAAGCCATCAGCTTACCCCTCCGTTCTCCCCCTAGCAAACAAACTCCAGGGCTTGTGGAACGCAGCTAAGGAAGGACAGCTAGGGTGCTCTGGGTAAGCTGAACCAAGCCAGACTCCAGGAGGAGGGGTGGTGATATGGAAGAATGGTTTCCTCATTAGATTACTAAATCTCACTGTACCCCTAAGGGAGGGTGTTTTAGCCGAATTTTTCAAATGAACAAATCAAAGTTTTGAGAGGTCATGGGATCTACCCAGAGTCTAGGATTGCCAGATTTTAGAAAATAAAAATTCAAGAAATCCAGTTACATTGGAATTTTGAATAGACAAAATTTTTTGGTGTAAGTACGTCCCAAATACATCCTGTATTTGATCGGTCAACTCTACCCCTCGTGGAGAGGCTAAGCCACAGGTGACCCCCCCACAGTCCCAGCCTCCTGCCTAGGGCAGCCCACACAAGCGGACTTCTGCTGCCAGCCTCTCGCTGAGCCTAAACTGACCAGTCCCGTCCTGCCTTTAAGGAAAAGCACCTCTTGCTTACTAACGAACGAGGCTCAGCCAGTTTGCTGCCAACCAGGTTTAACAGCTGCTGTTTGCTGGCAGTGTGACCGGCATGGAAGGAAACAGCAAGGCCCCGCCTTGCTCTTTTTTTTTTTTTAAAGGCAGTCAGAAGAAAACAAGATGGACTTGGTTGGGCCCTGCAGGGATGAGGCCATTTTGGTGGGTTTAACAAGGCCCAGCAATCAGACTGGAGTGATATATGTGGGAGGGGCAGGCCTGCTGTGAAGTTGTTCCATTCCTGCTGCAAGAGAATTTAATTTCCCACATCAGCGAGTGTGGAGTGGCCCTCTCATGTCACCATCTGGGTGCAGCAAGGGGCCCCAGTGTCCAAAAAGAACAAAGGGCTTGGTGATAAGGGTTCTGTGCTGAGTCTCCCAGTGTTGCTACTGTCCAACCATGGGACCCCAGACCAGATATTTAAATCCAACCTAATTTCTTCATCTGTAAAAGGGGATAAATCACCCATCTCACAGGCTAAGAGGATTAAATGACACAGTAGCACTGGCCCACAGTAGGTACTGATAACATCCATGAGACCTGGTTCTTTAGCGATCCACTCTTGGCAGCAAGGGACAGCTGAGGATGGCGGGGAAGGAGTCGGCTCTTTCTCTGGTTTGTTCCTACATCAGGATTATGCTAAAGGTTCTTAGAACAAAACGGACCACTCAACACTTTTGGGGCTTAAACATCTAATTGTCATAATCACCCTACAGCTAACAATTTCTCCCACTTGTCAAATGAGGACCAGCACAGATCAGACATTTGTCCTGGGTCAGAGAGGAGATAAGTTACCTGAGCCCTCTGGGCCAGTTTCCTCATTCACAATACAGGGTGCAGAGGGTTTGATACGAAGACTGAAGAAGCCATATGAACTTGGGACTTGGGAAGATGGAATGGGCTCAGTGTGTGAAATGTGCCCCTTCCCCAGGCACAAGGGAGCCGGGCTAGCCCAGGCAGGTGCAGTGAGGGGGTTAAGGGGAAAGCTGATGGGGAAAGCAAAAGCCCCTGTAAGACCACAGCTCCCACTGGCTACACCAAGACCCCTGCCCACAAGACAGGTCCTTCTTGACTGCAAGCAGCCTGATCCTGTGTACTCCCAGGAAAATTGAGTTACGATTGCCTGTAGAAGGCCCTGTGCAGGCTCTTTACACCCCAAATCTTGATCTTCACTACAAGCCCACTGGTAGGCATTATTCCCTCCCGGCTGTGCACCCATACACAGAGGGAAACTGAAGCTCTGTGAGTGACTTAGCCAAGGTCACACCGAAATAAGCCAAATCCAACTTTGCTCAAGATCTTTTTCTCCAGCAAGTGCTGGTAAGGCTGGGGCAGAGGAGCCCCCAAACTTGCAATACAAGTAGCCCTTGACTGTACCCACCTCAGACCTGGTTCTAGAC